ATCAATTAAATTAGGCATAAATGCACCATCTAACATTATATTTTTTTTCTGGAAAACTATTCAAGGGAAAATCTGGAAAAAAAGAAGAAAATCAGGGGCGTATTATAGTAAAGTTTCAAATTTTTTTAGTGGAAAATAATCCCTTTGTAAATTAATGAAAATTAACTAAATTAGGCATAAATGCACCATCCAACATTTTATTTTCCTTCTGGAAAACTATTCAGGGGAAAATTATTACATTTTCTGGAGAAAAAGAAAAAAGTCAGGGGCGTATCATACTAAAATTTCAATTTTTTCCCGTGAAAAACAACAAAATTAAAAATAATTTTAAAAATTAAATAGGGGTGCGATCGATAACATCTTTTTGGTATAAAAAAAGGATCCGCTCAGACAAATGAATGAAATTGACAATTGACAGTGTAAACCCATTCAACACATTGAAAATGTCAACTGTCAAAAAATACATGCTCTATCAATACTTATACCGATTTCCATTTGTAGTGTCAGTAAAAAAAAAAATTATCTCCATCCTTCAATTTCACATGATTTTAGAAAAAGATGCGAATACACTCAGTGCGCACTGATTGACAAATGGAAATCGCCATAAAACGACAGAGAAGACAGAAAAGAAAAAAGAAAAAGGTGACTAGACATAAGGGCTTGCACTCCAACAAAATAGGTTTAGGAAAATAGAGATTATTTTCCAGTAAAAAACTAAATAATTTAATAATGCATAATTATAGTATTTTAGGTGTACTATAATGACCTTTGATAGTACATAGTGTAACGTTTTCAATTTCTTGGCTAATAAGCTACCTTGTTTTGCCATACTGGATATGATTCCATATAGAGCTACAATGAAATAAATGAATAAACAACTATCTTTTTTGTGCCCAGATTTTGTTACCTGCTGCCTTCTACTAGAAGTTTTTTTGGTTCAGGTTTGCAAGTTTGGTTAATTGATCTGGGAAGGTTTGATTCAGTACGGCAGGGCCCGCTGTTATTGATTAGAATCTTAGGAAAAGGAGTTAGTACCATCATCATATCTGTTTGCAAATCCAATCAATAATCTGAGGTTATGATAATAATTGTTGTTTACTCTTTGACTTTTCATTTCCATCATGTCATTGAACAGCTGTTTTGTCTAGGCGTTTTCTTTAGACCTGTTCTACCTTTTTGATATATGTTCTATAGGCACTTTCCAACATTCACCAGTCATTTTTTACACAACCGATTCTCAGTTCGTATTTTTGTGGTGAAACTGAACACGTCCTTTTCTATAATTTTCTTCTATGTCAAAATTAGAAGTTTGACAGATAAAAGTCTTCTTCCGAAATCTAAATTCTAAATGAAGAATCTCCCCTTTTGATCTGCGACCTCACGCTGAGTAGTCGTCCGGTCTCGGGCCTCGGCCCTAATTATTTTTGGGGCGAGACTTTTTGGAATTTTGTGCCAGGGAGCTCAAGTTTTAGACTAATTTCTTGCTGATAATTGTCTAGAGTCGTCCCTTGGTCATTTTTGGATTCTGTTTCGGTGAGTTTGAGATTTTCTTCAGGAAATATTAACCTACAACACGTGTTCCATTTTTTTAATAGGACTGTTCCGAGCAGCATTTGGAAGTTTAAGACTTCACCTTTGGTCTAGAGTATCCCTCAATTTGAGGTAAGATTATTTCTAATATTTGGGGCTCGATTTGTTTTTTTTATACGAACATCGTTATAGGGTCCTAGTCTCAGGCTATAGTTGGGCAATCCTATTCCTACTCTTAGGCTATAGTTGGACAATCCTAGTTCTAGGCTGTAGCTAGACAGTCTTAGGCTATAGTTGGACAGCTCCTAGAAAGAGATTCTAGACTAGATCTAGATTGCTCTTAGTTGGCTTTCGTAGCCTTTCTTCAGCAACTCTATTGGTACCACTCTGCTAGAACCACATTGGGTTCTACGTTAAACAGATACAACGTGGATAGGACTCATGACTCACTAACCATACCTTAGCCTATCTATAGTGAGACCAAACCTGTAGATAATCTCACTTTGGAAACTTCTGGATTTTCACATACATTTCACTTGTATACATGTAAGTTGCACCTTTACTATTTAGGCAAATCTTATATCTGACACCGAATTACGTCGGTAAGTGCCCCTTAAATAAAATTCTAGAATTTTACCCTGAGGTTGCCCTAACAATAACTTTCATCTTTCTGTGTTTAATTTGCCTGTTGGTAAAGTGTAACCCATACTGTTTTTTTAATCTTCCACAGGTGTTAATAAACAGTTAAAACTGTTTATTTTAAATCCATATATTCATTATTTACATTTTTTTTATTTATTCAAATATTCACAAATTAGGTACAAGCCTAATCCTAAACACCTTTTTAATAACTTCGTGGCTACTTATTGGCGCAATAGTTAAGTCCTAATTACTTGGTGGCTACACTTTTTGGCGCCTTATTATTATTGTTATTATTTTTTAATAAAGAAAGCCAGATACATTATTGTACCTAATTAGTTGTTTTATTGTTAAGCGCTCCAATTGTACAAGTTTTGTTTATAACATCATTAGGTTATCTTCCTAGTTAAGTCACAATTAACTTGGTGGCGCCCAAAGGTAAGATGTATACAAGGAACCCATAGACCCATGGCTTCCGAACTGAAGCTGACTAGCCGTAGCAGTATAATTAGGCAATTGCCAAAAAAAGTACGTTATAATAGTACATAACCATTCAATTATAGTACAAATATACTATAATTATTATAGTACGGTTGTCAACACTGTAGCAAAGTGACCAAACTTGGGATGCATATTCCACCGTAGATCGAATGTAAGCACAATATAAAGCCTTGAAACACAACAAATCGGAAAAATCTTGTAGAGTTCCATTTAAAAATCCCAATGTTTTCAATGCTTTGTTAGTAAAAGTTAGTTCTTGATCAAAAATGACCCCTAAATCCTTTATAGTATTTATTTTTTCCAAGGGCACAGATTTAGCCCTGTATTCAAAATTTATCAAATTTTTCTTCCTAGAAAATAAACTTCATACTTTACATTTGGTAACGTTAAATTGCATGCCATTTATTTGACACTACAATACCAAGTCATCTATATCTTTTTGAATTTTTTGACAATCTTCTACCGATGTAATATTTTTGGAAAATTTCAAACCATCCGAGTAAAAAAAAAGACTCTGAATATTTAATATATTCTCGTATATCATTACAAAAATATTTGAATAATAATGGAGACAAATGACTTCCTGGAGCAAATATTTTTCAGTTTAATAATCTGATGTCTATTACAAAGATTATACAACTCACTGTACATTATTCCCATATGACACGAAAGGCTTAAAAAGTGATAATCCTTTTGCACGGTAACTGGTGTTTTGACATTTTTTGACAAATAATTTAAATTTTCGATTCATGAAATTATCAATTAATAAAGAATTAAAGTTTAGTTCGTTGTATAACCTTTTGAATACCACTCGATTTTTCAGGATTACCTAATACTTTTACCTGACACTCAACGCGTTACCAGCAACACCACTCCTCCTTCGGAGTCGTGGTGTTGCTGCGTAACGCGTTTCGTGACAGGTAAAAGTATTATCCGGTAATCCTGAAACCTCTTGTGGTATTACATTCGATAATCCTCTACCCAGTTCAACGTGCTTTCAAAAATACCCACAGCTCTAAGCATATTGATTAAGTTTCCATGAATGACAGTATCAAATGCCTTTCTAAAATTGGTATAAACTGCATCAACCTGCTGAAATGATTCTAGAGACTCAACTAAAAACTCCTCAAAAACTAGTAAATTGGAAACCATAGATCTATTTTTTGTAAAACCATGATCATTCCATTCAAATGATGAGTTAATTTTTCATTTACAATCAATTCGAAAACTTTTGAAACAAAAAAATTTAGAAATAGGTGTATAGTTTACAATATCAGATCTTGCCAGTTATAATATTTCCTCGAAGGCCTTATTTGAATAGTATACATAATTATTATCTTAGCTGTTGAAGGTATTTCTTAAAGTTATTTGTATTGATTGTATTGTATCAAAACATTCAGCACACAATCTCTTATTTAATTATTAATTATTTCTTGAGAAATGTCTCTTTCGATTTGGTTTTTCACTTACGTATATGCAAAAATTTCTTTCGAAATCCCATTTGGGCCTCATACTGTTAAAAATATACACTTTGTATTAGAATAAGATCCAATTATTCTGACAAAAACCTCATTGCAGTACCATTAATTTGTCTCCCGGGAAGAAACATTTTGTATTGCTTTAATCATTAAAAATGTTAACAAGGATTAAGCTAATCGTCCTAGGGGGTGGCAATTTTAAGAAAAAAAAAAATTAATTACCCGACATCAATTCCGGAGGCGCGGATTAAATGTTTCTTGTTGTATAAAACGGACATGAAGAAATAAATTTGACGAGATTAAACGGGAGGCCCTTTTTCCTCCTAAACAAATCTTTTTGTTTTTAATCAATCTGGCAAAGGATTCACTTTGAATTATTTTATTAAAATTTCCTCTAGAAGTCGTAAAAATCTAAGTACCCGTGCAATTTGTGCATCATAAAAATGAAAATCCTTGTCCTGTTCCTTCGAGCAAGGAGGAGATGATATTAAATTTTACTTCCAAAAAGAGTACAAAAACGAAATGAATTTCATTTAAAAAAAAGAAGCCATTTGAGTATCAGATTTAAAAAAAATGCAAATAATTTATATTGGATTGCAGAATGCCCTTCTCGTTTAAAACTTGGCCAGTCGCTTGTATTTTTATCTTAAAAGTAGGTTAACGCGCGGATTGATTTCACTTATTCAACCAGTATGTTTTACAATACGTTGTTGTGGCTTTGCGGCAATTTTTATTATTATTTTGTGCAGTTTTATAACATTCCAAACAGTGGCGTTTATGTAGCAGAACCTAGGGAATCTAACAGGTTTGGGTTTTCAGGATTCTGAATATTTTGTCAAAATTGCATTTTAGATTTGAGATTGCTTATCAATGGACTTATTTGAACTATACTTGGGAGTCTGCTCAACAATATAATAGAGCCATTGAATCTGGCAGATATGTTCCGGCTAATAACGCTCCTACAGGTTTGAAGTTTTATGGAAATTTGATGTTCATTTCGGTTCCTAGATTCAGGCCTGGAATTCCTGCTACTTTAGTATCATTGGGTAAAATTCAATAAATTATCCATAGAAGAGGGGTTTATCGATATTTTTAAGTACCTATCGATTTCATGTTTGCTCTAATTCTTTTTCGTATCGTTATTTGCTTGAGGAAATATCCATTTTATTTAGATCAATGTTTGTCTATTATTCTTGGTTCTTAAAAAATTTGGACTTTTATTGGCTCTTGATTTTTCTAGATGAAATATTCGTCCAGTAATAATCAAGATTTGAATTATAATCGGCATTTGATTGTCTCAGGGATATTTTCCGTCTAAGAGCATCAAGAGTCGATAATAATCAATATTTGGAATTAAATTAATTAAATTAAAGAAATTAAAATTAAAGTGCATACTCTAGGCTTCAAATAATATATAAAATACTTCATTCTAGAAGCTTTGGACATTGTAGTAAATAATTATTCCAAATGTCCAGTTGGTCTTCATTTCACCCACAATGTGGAACCGGCCTTTATTCCCTCAATGTCCGCAGGACGAAAGATGTGAGTCCGGCCTCCATTTCACCTACAATATGGAACCGGCTTTTTTTCCCTCCATGTCAGAAGATTAAATAGTGTGAAACGGCCTGCTGCTACCATTACGAATATGGTGGGTAAAAAAAATTCAAAGGCCATAACACCCTTTGGAAGTTTTTGGCGAAAAACTTCAAAATTTGAATATCTCGAAAAAAAAAATTGCATTGAAAAGAGCAAGCAAAAAATACGTCGAAAAGCTAATTTGACTCTCCTTGCTACGGCGCATCTTAAGTCCGGAAAAAAATAAAAAAGGAAATGTCGATTTTGGCCAGAAAAAAATTGTGGGGTGCCCCCGAGGCCACTTTTTCGCTTATAGCTCCGCTATTTCTCAACCGATCATTTCGTGTCATATCTCTTTTGAAAGAAGATGAAATTACCTACAAATTATTTTTTTATTGAGATTCCAGGCCGTTTTCGTCTTTGAGATATTAGCTGTCAAAGTTGAAATTTTTTGTAATTTGGGGCAATTATTGCTCAAAAACTATTAAAGCTATCAAATTCAATTTTGCATAGATTTATAGAAAATTTATTGCTCTGCCCAATGGTGTATAATTTATTCGAATTTACTGAAAGTTCACCAAAGATATGGGCAATTGTTCATGATCATATCAAGATTTTGAAAATTTTCAGGGGTCGTATTTTCGAATTCATTCGAGTATATTTCGTATACGAAATTTGACTGACAGCAATGTAAATTAAATGGGGATCATTCGAAATCGTATCAAATTTCGTATGCGAGAATATTCGAAAATACGACCCCAGATGATCAATTTGAAAAATTGCCCATTGACACTATTGTCTCATTTCCAATTTTTTCCCTAAAGGACCCCGCACACTTCTTATGGGATTTCTGACCGCGATCAAATTTAACCAAATCTCAGTAGTCAGTATGTTATAGATCTCACCTCAGACTAATAATAAAACTAGAGACCAAACATGCCATTTAAAAATCGCCCAATGTTTACAATCAATCATCTTTTAGTCCATGACATTAGTAGGAGAGAGATAGACCTATAAAATGGCAACACTCTTCAGTGGCGGCCTGTTCAGTTTCCTCTCAATTTTTCCACTCATAATAAATTACCATAAATATTCTCTATCTACGCCAATGTCGAGCGTAAAATGATGTCAAATTTCTTACCGCCGAAATATTAAAATTTGCTTGGAATCATTAAAGATAATACATCGATGTACCATTTTACTATTCTCCGCCACACTTTCCACAGTTTTAAATCCAAAAATACCACTGATTAACACTCAAAATCACAAAATTCGCTCTATCACTTCTCAGCAACACTGCCAAATCCGTTATGGCTGCCATAAGTCACAAAAAATCATCTGATTGGCTGCTCGTAGATGCAACGTTGTCGATGTGCCGTTTTTCGAGCCATATATTCCGAGTTATTCCAGAATTTTCACCAATTAAATTAAAAAAAGACTAATTATTTTTTTCAAAAATGCGTTTTAGTTATATTTCAACAAAGATTGATATAAAAAAACATTTACATTATGTTAAAACATATTTTGACATAATGATTATCCTTGAAAATATTTAATATTGAAAATCACATCGGATTATTGGCAACCAGGCTTTTCATGCGAAAACCGACCTTATGGATGTTGGATCGCGAATTGTTTGTTTACTGTTGTATCTGTCGTTTTTAGTTGTTAATCTGAGGATCTCACCTTTCTGAGCAATAACTACCATGGACACAACTTAATCTTATGACTAGTTTTTGAGGCACAGGTAGTTTAATGTCCAAGAAATGCACATGTTTCATATACAATTACATCTACCTGTCACCTGAGTGTGAGGATACCTGTCAATCCTTATTATTAGGTGATAGGTAGATGTAAATGCATATAAAATGTGTGCATTTCTTGGACATCAAACTACCAGTATCTCGAAAACTAGTCATAGGATTAAGTTGTGCCCATAATAATTATTGATCAGAAAGGTGAGATCTATAACATACTAAAATTTGGTTTAATTTGACCGCGGTCAGAAATCCCATAAGAAGTGTGCGGGGTTCTTTAGGAATTTTTTTTCACATAACAGTGAAAGAACATTCATATTCTCAGAATATCCCAACTAACCCAAATTAATAGTTACATATTTTATTATCCATTTTAATGTTCATTTATTATAATATTTTATCAAATTTTTGGTAAACTATGGAAATGTGGTCTACTTTCAAGGCGCTCTAGCGGCGAAATCGTCTGCCTGACAAAAAAAACTTACGAGACATAATTTGCAGGAAATTTAGTGTAGTATATTTTTATACAGTGACACTTTTTCTCAAAAGAGTATATTTTCCGAGTTATGGCAAAAAGAACGAAAAAAGTGCTCTTTTTTCGCAGTTTTCACGAAACGCATCACTTTTTCGTGGTGGCAAAGTTGAAATTCGGGTTCAGCACTCCAAAAAACATAAATAACAAATGAGAAAAAAAACTTCTATATTTTTTTCCTGGATTGGCCTCTTCTTATACCCAAGTTATTGTACTATAAAAAATGTTCTTTCGGCTAATATCTTTATCAAATATTAAGAATTTACCTACCAAGTTGTGTTGAGAAGTTTATGTAGGTAAATATACCTACCAAATTGTGTTGAGAAGGTACTTACCTATGGTAGGTATCCATGATAAGAATATTTTCATATTGTTCACCTAATTATTTAAAGTACCTACTCTATCCAATTTGAAAAATTGCCCATTGATACTATTATCTCATACTGTAGCTTTCAAAATTGAAAATTTTCCAAAAATGACTTCGAGACCGTTTTTGCCTCATAGCTTCGTTAATTCACATCCGATTTCAATGTCATCAAGCTCTAATTAAAGCTTATTAAATTATCTACAAACCTATTAATCAAGATTTTAATTTGGTCTCAACAGTTTTTCACCTAAGTGGCTTCAAAATTAAAATTATTGAACCTCGAAAATTTTCCAAAAAATTACACTGAGACAGTTTTTGTCTCCCAGTTCTGGCTCTTGAATTTTTCCAACATAAACAAAATTCAAGGGCCTGAAATAGGAAAAATATAATCATTTCAAACAATTGTCAAGATATTGTAGTATAACATACCCGGGTTCGCTCAGTAAGATTGAACGATGAGAATTTTTATTACCTTTTAAACAACAAATATTCTGAAAAACGAAATGAAAAACAAATAGGACCTACGTTGTGGAAACTTACTCAATTTTACTTACTGGACATGCGCCCGACATAGCAAATATTTGGGAAATTTAAGGGAAGGTGTGATATGTAAAAGAAACGAAAAATTTGTGAAACGTCTCCTTTATTATCAAAGAAAAACGGACCGTTCTCGACCTGGAACTAATGAGGGAAAAGAGCACGGCAGGGAAACCCTCGGTCTAACATTCCTCAAAAATCGAAACATACTGTGTCATTTTAATAATAATTGTGAGTCATTAATACAATAATTTAAGTCAATAAAAGTTTAAATGAGGTACCGCCCCTTTGTTCTTGGGCTGAAATTTTGATTACACACACTACATACAATCAACACTATACCTATAATCAATACTGAAGAGTTTTTGATTAGTTAGTCCATCTGTAGCGGGTACTGAGGTCCTGGTTACGTAACTCACAGCTATAGTTTCTGAGCTAATATCTCTAGATTGATTTTTCTCAATTTGCTAAGATATTCTCTCGTCAGGGTAGGAAAATGTTAATAAGTTCAACAAAGCCCTAATGCACGCTCTGAATACACAAAATCAAAATCCTAGCACAAAAAAACAGCACATAATTTCTTAGGTTTTAATTTACTTCTTTATCTGTATTGTTTACAGTATGAAACGATTTTGGTTAAATATATAAACAATGCACATGTTGTTATAAACAAACAAAAAAAAACATAAAAATTGGAAAAAAAATAATACTTGCGTAAATAGAACTCTCAAAAACAAAATAACATTTAATCCACTAACCTGTGAACGCTCCTTACACACACACTAATAACAAATCGGATTGAACAATTAATGCGATATAGAAATGAAAATTGAATAATGAATAATTACAGACTTCTGTAGTCTAATTGCCTATTCTCTATCTACCCTTCGCTTCGGTACTTTCGTTTTTCTGTGGCGCGCCCCGTTCAAACCTAAACTTGATGGCGCAGACATGGTTGCAACATTTAGTTTTATTCAGTAACCGATTTTTAAAAGTTAAAATTTAAAGAAATAATATTTCAAATAGATGGTTTTCCTCAATATCGATATCGATAAACCCTCTTCTAAAATCAAAAACCCTTAAAAAAAAGTACAATATTTCTAGAAATAACCCATCAAACAATCAACCCTCTTCTGTCTCCTTATCCAAACTGGCAATTCAACAACGACCACTCATCTTGCAAACATCTACAAAGTGTCCAAAGCATGGAAGTGGACACAAGCGGAACAATGTGGATAATAGACGGCGTAAGAATCAACAATTACAACAGATGTCCGGCAAAATTGGTTTTATTGAACCTAAATCAAGCAGGCTCTTTGGTTCATCTTTACGAATTTCCTGAACGATTATCGTCCAGAAATGGGGGATTTTTAAATGATATTGTCCTAGATGAAACTGATGGCGGGTTTGCTTATATTACTGAAAATGGGCAACTGGATCCTGGGATTATAGTGTATTCGAGACGAAAAAATCAAGCTTGGAAATTGAGAGATGTTAGCATGTTGCCAGAGCCGAACGCTGTTGTGTTTAGGGTTGAGGATGTTGTGTTTGATGCTCCAACACCAATTGGTTTGTTGGTATATGTAGGAAATTTATTTTTAATTTTTTTTTGATTATGATGGTTTTTAGATGGAATTGCACTATCACCATCAAAGACGTTGTTTTATTGTGCAATATCTTCTTATAGCATGTATTCAATAGAAACCAGCATTATTAAAAATAGGGTTTTGGTTAAATCAGGCATTTGGAAGAGAAATATTACGTTTGTTGGAACTAAATCAGCTCAAAGTGATGGTATTATATAATATAAAATATAATATTTTTATACTATACTCAAAATCCTTATAGGTATTATAATAGACAACAAATCAAATATGTATTTGACAATGCTGCCCCAACACGCAGTTGCAATGTGGAATATCAACGAACCAATTGCCTCTATAATTAGATTAGACCAAGATCGTCAGAGAATGGTTTGGCCGGACGGATTCGCTTTCGATCAACGAGGCTTTTTGTATTTGATTAGCAACAAAATTTACAATTATATTGATTTAAGACGGACCCCAGTGGTTACAGATGAAGTACAATTTAGAGTTTTGAGGCTGTTTACTGGAACAACAAGTTATTTGAATTCGAAATAAATCATCATTAAATTTCACCTGCAGCATTAAAATAATAAGAATCTCGCGAAAATTAGTCTTTTAATGATGGAACTTTTTTTTCTAGGAGGAAAAATAATTAGGTAAAGAAAAAAAAGATTTAAAGTAATTACTTTGCTCTATCCCTGGTGCGCTTTCTCAGTTAAATTAGAGCAACGTTTCTCACTTTTCTCTCTCTATTAATGCCACTTTTTTTCCGACTCTTGCTTCTACTAATGGACGCAATTTAAATTAATATTTTTCATTTCGGATATGAACTGCGACTTGGATTCAATTTATCATTGCAGCTTGTACCAGGATGTTGATTCATTATTTTTTGATTTTGAGATGAGTGAATTTGAATAAATAACGTTAGAACAGTAGCATTATTGAAGTCCATCAAGTGTTTAGTTATACTCCATTATTTGCGGGAATATCTGCTGTAGGTGCTCTAGGTGGAGGTACTGCTGGTATAGCAAAAGCAATAAATGCCACTGAAAGTCACTAAGTTTTTCCCAAAATTTCAAATTTTTGCAGTAGAAAACAACAACATCGAGAACAACATGAATGAACAATCTTCAAAATCAACTTAATTGATAATACAGTCTCTCACATTTCAAAGTTTTTCTGGAAAACTAATACAGGAAAAATTATGAAACTTTTTACATGTGAAGAAAAGGAAAGTTAGAAGTTTATTTCCAATACAAATACCAAACAAAATAACCAAAAATGTTTTCCATTTTTTAGAAAATTTCCAGGTACAATTATTATTGTTGTATAAAGTTCCAGTCAAGGGTGTAAAACGCCCCAAACCAGAACAACCAACCGCGAGTAAAAGGCGTATTGTTTCAGCATTTAAATGCGGCACACGATAATATTTTGATTAATAGTCCATAGGATCGCCCCATCCAGTTTATATATAAATTGCCGAGTGGAAATCGTTGATAAATTGATGACGCCTTAGTAATTGACAATAACAAATAACGGGGCCGTTAAATTGGATCCAGAACCCTTTACGTTCAAATTGAATTTTTCGGTAGATATAAATGAAAATCGACCACAACAAATTAAGTAAATGGTAAAATTCCATATAGTTATTGGGGAAACTAGTGTTGTGAACTAGTGAATTCATTATTATTTATAATTATCAATAATCCTAATGTTTACTACATTTTCTCTTCTACAAGTTCCACCATCTGTGTAATTAAGTCCCAAATTTTATTATAACAATATTTTATGCTGTTAGGGTTCAAAGAGGATGCCGGCTAGAATTATTGTCCTGTTCACACCAATTTCTCGAAAGTCGGTACTTCTATTGCAGAAACCCCAATTGTTGTAAATATAAAAACTAAGTTAAATACAGCCCATGGGAAGTACTCTTGCCGCCAAAGACATAGTACCTTCCCAGGCCTTTTTTATAATATAGATGGCAAGAATTACAACCCCTAGGCTAATTTTATGTTTATGATTGTACAAACGTTTCGTAACATTTTAGCACCTAAATAAAATATGTTGTTGGGAAATTGTAAAATACCCTTCTTTAGGGAGGTCCAAGCTTGCCTTCCTTGGTGGAAGATAGTTGAAGGCAAGGTATTCAGATTCCGAGCTTCACTCTGAACAGTCGGGTTGCCTCTCAACATTCTTACCTAAGTTTCCCCCCCTCAACAAGAATTTTATTAAATGAAACATTTTTTTAGTTTTAATTATCGAAGTACGAGAGTGGAGTGAGCGGAAAACTCCAGGTACTCAACATTCGTGGCATCGGTCAACTCCCGATTCCCAACACTAGAACACAAATCTTAAAAAATGAGCTCAGTTTTTGATTGTTCTAGAACTAAATTCATAAAACAACCACCTATAAACGTAACAATTTTAATACTAAATAACGATGCTTGATACAATTGAAACTGAATATTATGCACTGTGCGGAATGCGTCATTACAACGACCGCAAATCGGAAGTTATCTTTAATTGAACCGCAAACGCTAGGCTTTATGGAGTCACGAAATCATATTTGTATCGCCGCAAAATTTTGAGCGTGTATGTATGTTTGTTATTTTGTTTGAGGGGGTCGAAATCTCCCTCTCTTGTACAGGAGAGTTATCTTTAATTAGATTTTGTAACCGACCGAAATTGTTGCAGAGTTGATAAATTAATTTTGGAAAGGTACACACTTTGTATGTGTGGAATTTGAACGATGTAATTTCAAGATAATTGAAAAAAAATTATACATTTTTGTAAAGTAGATAAATCAGGCTTTTTGACAATGATAGAATATATCAATAAAAAATAAGATTATATTGTGGGAAAAAAATCCTTATTCTTACAGAAAAAACCGCATCTCGTTATCTTTTCTCGTTTTCGAGATATTTACTTGCAAAATGTGGGGATGGGATTTGATAAGTGCCATAACAGTTGGATATACATTGCAATTTGTGTTACAAATTGATTACTTCTAGTCGATCCTACTTTTTAACCATAATGACATATGACAGATAAGTTTTTTGACTCATGTCAATTGAACTCTTGGACAGGAAAGATTGGGAGCTAAACAGAGAGATATCTTTTCTAATTGGCCACAGCAAATCCTGGAAGCCAATATCAGAACGAGTAACTATGTTATTTAAAATAAGAGGATAATTATTACCTGAACAATGTCCCCATGACTTTGACCATTGGCAGTGAACGTGAGATGACAAAGGAACGGCAACCGAGCGTCCAAAGCTTTAACAACCCGAAGCTCGTAAGTTTTTCCGACGTCGCCGTAATAAGTCCGGTTGCAGGCTGAAAAAGAAAAACAAATTTTCTACATATAAAGTTTAATTGAATCCGAATCCTCTCTCAATGAAAGAGCCATAACGTCTCCGGCTTTTTTATATTATATAACGTTCATCTACTGGAGTGAAATTGGTCGAGAGCTGAAAACTCCTGCGCCCGCTCTTTTCTATATTTATATGTCGATTATTTTATAACCGAGCTTGGAAAAGATCAAAGCCAGTAGACTAAGAGCTTACATTTTTATTTAATAGAAAATCGATGTATAAGAATTCCAGGCTATATTGAAATTATGTCCAGTTCGTTACGTGACGCGAAATTCTTTTGAACGAAACACAAATTATGGCAATTAATTTTTTTTTTGTATTTAGTCTCCAAGCACTTTCTTATTGGGTGTTTAATTTGTTTTGCCGCACAACAGAGGCCTGCCTCAATACAAGTTTGGATTTTAATTTAAAAACTTTAAATTGCCTCTCCTCTTCAGGTTTGGCTCGGAGCCGGAATACCGGAGACGCATTAAGATTTTCCGGATTAGAGCCGGATTTGATTATTTTGGATTTTTTTTTAAATTTTTTTTGCTTTTCTCAGTATTTTTTATAATAGTTTTCGCGGTGTGAATTTTTTGTCTATTGCAGGTTTTCAATTTTTCTAAATATTAATGAATGAAAAAACTCATAATTTGAGTTGTGAGTTTTATATTAACTTCAAATTCGTTTCCTATAATGGGAAAATACTCATCAATGAATCCTGGAAGTTTCAAGTTGCTGCAATGGATCAAAGTATTTTTCAGGAAACTTCAAAGTTGATTTTACAGGAATATTAAGATTTTCGAGGGGTGTATCACTCATGCAGAAGGTGTACAAATGTTATTCCAGTAGAGGACTACAATCCCTGAAAATTTCAGCTCATTTAGACTTATAATTCCTGAGATAAAATCGTGTTAAACAATTTGGGGTGATTTATCAATTTTTCAATTTTTCTGTGTGCCTTTTTTCATAGATTTCGGCTTCAAATCTGAAAATAATTTAGCGTATGGAGTTTGGGGGATGTTGATTGATCATTAAGAAAAAAAATTTTGAAATTTCATCGTTTTAGTAAGAAGGTACCTACCATATGATTAAGATTTTGAAAAACTTTGAAAGATCATAACTTTTTTCTATTATAGATAGAAAGCTGAAATTTTCACTGAATCTTGTCTAAATAAGGGGACTATAATCCCTGTAAATTTCAGCTCATTTGCACCAATAGTTCCTGAGATAAAATCGTGTTAAGCAATTTGGGGTGATTTATCAATTTTTCTGAGTGCCTTTTTTCATAGATTTCGGATTCAAATCTGAGAATAATTTGGTGCATGGAGTTTGGGGGATGTTGAATGACCATTAGGACTCAAAATCTCGACAAAAAAAAATTTGAAATTTCATCGTTTTAGTAAGAAGATACCTACCTTATGATTTAGATTTTGAAAAAGTTTGAAAGGTCACAACTTTTTTTCTATTATAAATAGAAAGCTGAAACTTTCACTGAATTTCATCCCAATCAAGGGACTACAATCCCTGAAAATTTCAGCACATTTGCACTTATAGTTCCTGAGATAAAATCATGTTAAGTAATTTGGGGTGATTTATCAATTTTTCAATTTTTCTGAGTGCCTTTTTGCATAGATTTCGGATTCAAATCTGAGAATAACTTAGTGCATGGAGTTTGGGGGATGTTGAATGACCATTAGGACTCAAAATCTCGACAAAAAAAAATTTGAAATTTCATCGTTTTAGTAAGAAGATACCTACCTTATGATTTAGATTTTGAAAAAGTTTGAAAGGTCACAACTTTTTTTCTATTATAAATAGAAAGCTGAAACTTTCACTGAATTTCATCCCAATCAAGGGACTACAATCCCTGAAAATTTCAGCACATTTGCACTTATAGTTCCTGAGATAAAATCATGTTAAGTAATTTGGGGTGATTTATCAATTTTTCAATTTTTCTGAGTGCCTTTTTGCATAGATTTCGGATTCAAATCTGAGAATAACTTAGTGCATGGAGTTTGGGGGATGTTGAATGACCATTAGGACTCAAAATCTCGACAAAAAAAAATTTGAAATTTCATCGTTTTAGTAAGAAGGTACCCACCTTATGATTTAGATTTTGGAAAACTTTGAAAGGTCACAACTTTTTTTCTATTATAGATAGAAAGCTGAAACTTTCACTGAATTTCATCCCAATCAAGGGACTACAATCCCTGAAAATTTCAGCACATTTGCACTTATAGTTCCTGAGATAAAATCATGTTAAGTAATTTGGGGTGATTTATCAATTTTTCAATTTTTCTGAGTGCCTTTTTTCATAGATTTCGGATTCAAATCTGAGAATAATTTAGTGTATGGAGTTTGAGGGGTGTTGAATGACCATTAGGACACAAAATCTCGACAAAAAAAAATTTGAAATTTCATCGTTTTAGTAAGAAGGTACCTACCTTATGATTTAGATTTTGAAAAACTTTGAAAGGTCATAACTTTTTTTTTTATTATAGATAGAAAGCTGAAACTTTCACTGAATTTCATCCCAATCAAGGGACTACAATCCCTGACAATTTCAGCACATTTGCACTTATAGTTCCTGAGATAAAATCATGTTAAGTAATTTTGGGGTGATTTATCAATTTTTTCAATTTTTCTGAGTGCCTTTTTTCATAGATTTCGGATTCAAATCTGAGAATAATTTAGTGTATGGAGTTTGAGGGGTGTTGAATGACCATTAGGACACAAAATCTCGACAAAAAAAAATTTGAAATTTCATCGTTTTAGTAAGAAGGTACCCACCTTATGATTTAGATTTTGGAAAACTTTGAAAGGTCACAACTTTTTTTCTATTATAGATAGAAAGCTGAAACTTTCACTGAATTTCATCCCAATCAAGGGACTACAATCCCTGAAAATTTCAGCTCATTTGCACGTATGGTTCCTGAGAAAAAATCGTGTTAAGCAATTTGGGGTGATTTATCAATTTTTCAATTTTTCTGAGTGCCTCTTTTCATAGATTTCGGCTTCAAATCTGACAATAATTTAGTGTATAAAGTTTGGGGGATGTTGATTGACCATTAGGACACAAAATCTCGACAAAAAAAGATTTGAAATTTCATCGTTTTAGTAAGAAGGTACCTACTTTATGATTTAGATTTTGGAAAACTTTGAAAGGTCATAACTTTTTTTCTATTATAGATAGAAAGCTGAAACTTTCACTGAATTTCATCCCAATCAAGGGACTACAATCCCTGAAAATTTCAGCACATTTGCACTTATAGTTCCTGAGATAAAATCGTGTTAAGCAATTTGAGGTGATTTATCAATTTTTCAATTTTTCTGAGTGCCTTTTTTCATAGATTTCGGATTCAAATCTGAGAATAATTTGGTGCATGGAGTTTTGGGGGATGTTGAAATGACCATTAGGACTCAAAATCTCGACAAAAAAAAATTTGAAATTTCATCGTTTTAGTAAGAAGGTACCCACCTTATGATTTAGATTTTGGAAAACTTTGAAAGGTCACAACTTTTTTTCTATTATAGATAGAAAGCTGAAACTTTCACTGAATTTCATCCCAATCAAGGGGACTACAATCCCTGAAAATTTCAGCACATTTGCACTTATAGTTCCTGAGATAAAATCATGTTAAGTAATTTGGGGTGATTTATCAATTTTTCAATTTTTCTGAGTGCCTTTTTTGCATAGATTTCGGATTCAAATCTGAGAATAACTTAGTGCATGGAGTTTGGGGGATGTTGAATGACCATTAGGACTCAAAATCTCGACAAAAAAAAATTTGAAATTTCATCGTTTTAGTAAGAAGGTACCCCACCTTATGATTTAGATTTTGGAAAACTTTGAAAGGTCACAACTTTTTTTCTATTATAGATAGAAAGCTGAAACTTTCACTGAATTTCATCCCAATCAAGGGACTACAATCCCTGAAAATTTCAGCTCATTTGCACGTATGGTTCCTGAGAAAAAATCGTGTTAAGCAATTTGGGGTGATTTATCAATTTTTCAATTTTTCTGAGTGCCTCTTTTCATAGATTTCGGCTTCAAATCTGACAATAATTTAGTGTATAAAGTTTGGGGGATGTTGATTGACCATTAGGACACAAAATCTCGACAAAAAAAAGATTTGAAATTTCATCGTTTTAGTAAGAAGGTACCTACTTTATGATTTAGATTTTGGAAAACTTTGAAAGGTCATAACTTTTTTTCTATTATAGATAGAAAGCTGAAACTTTCACTGAATTTCATCCCAATCAAGGGACTACAATCCCTGAAAATTTCAGCACATTTGCACTTATAGTTCCTGAGATAAAATCGTGTTAAGCAATTTGAGGTGATTTATCAATTTTTCAATTTTTCTGAGTGCCTTTTTTCATAGATTTCGGATTCAAATCTGAGAATAATTTGGTGCATGGAGTTTGGGGGATGTTGAATGACCATTAGGACTCAAAATCTCGACAAAAAAAAATTTGAAATTTCATCGTTTTAGTAAGAAGGTACCCACCTTATGATTTAGATTTTGGAAAACTTTGAAAGGTCATAACTTTTTTTCTATTATAGATAGAAAGCTGAAACTGTCACTGAATTTCATCCCAATCAAGGGACTACAATCCCTGAAAATTTCAGCACATTTGCACTTATAGTTCCTGAGATAAAATCATGTTAAGTAATTTGGGGTGATTTATCAATTTTTCAATTTTTCTGAGTGCCTTTTTTCATAGATTTCGGATTCAAATCTGAGAATAATTTAGTGTATGGAGTTTGAGGGGTGTTGAATGACCATTAGGACACAAAATCTCGACAAAAAAAAATTTGAAATTTCATCGTTTTAGTAAGAAGATACCTACTTTATGATTTAGATTCTGAAAAACTTTGAAAGGTCACAACTTTTTTTCTATTATAGATAGAAAGCTGAAACTTTCACTGAATTTCATCCCAATCAAGGGACTACAATCCCTGAAAATTTCAGCACATTTGCACTTATAGTTCCTGAGATAAAATCATGTTAAGTAATTTGGGGTGATTTATCAATTTTTCAATTTTTCTGAGTGCCTCTTTTCATAGATTTCGGATTCAAATCTGAGAATAATTTAGTGTATGGAGTTTGAGGGGTGCTGAATGACCATTAGGACTCAAAATCTCGACAAAAAAAAATTTGAAATTTCATCGTTTTAGTAAGAAGGTACCCACCTTATGATTTAGATTTTGGAAAACTTTGAAAGGTCACAACTTTTTTTCTATTATAGATAGAAAGCTGAAACTTTCACTGAATTTCATCCCAATCAAGGGACTACAATCCCTGAAAATTTCAGCACATTTGCACTTATAGTTCCTGAGATAAAATCATGTTAAGTAATTTGGGGTGATTTATCAATTTTTCAATTTCTCTGAGTGCCTTTTTTCATAGATTTCGGATTCAAATCTGAGAATAATTTAGTGTATGGAGTTTGAGGGGTGTTGAATGACCATTAGGACACAAAATCTCGACAAAAAAAAATTTGAAATTTCATCGTTTTAGTAAGAAGATACCTACTTTATGATTTAGATTCTGAAAAACTTTGAAAGGTCACAACTTTTTTTCTATTATAGATAGAAAGCTGAAACTTTCACTGAATTTCATCCCAATCAAGGGACTACAATCCCTGAAAATTTCAGCACATTTGCACTTATAGTTCCTGAGATAAAATCATGTTAAGTAATTTGGGGTGATTTATCAATTTTTCAATTTTTCTGAGTGCCTCTTTTCATAGATTTCGGATTCAAATCTGAGAATAATTTAGTGTATGGAGTTTGAGGGGTGCTGAATGACCATTAGGACTCAAAATCTCGACAAAAAAAAATTTGAAATTTCATCGTTTTAGTAAGAAGGTACCCACCTTATGATTTAGATTTTGGAAAACTTTGAAAGGTCATAACTTTTTTTCTATTATAGATAGAAAGCTGAAACTTTCACTGAATTTCATCCCAATCAAGGGACTACAATCCCTGAATATAAGCTCATTTGAACTTATAGTTCTAGAAATAAAATCGCGTTAAGCAATTTGAATCAATTTATCAAATTTTCAGTTTTCTGAGTGCCCTTTTTCATAGATTTCAAATTTCAGAATATTTTAGTGTATGGTGTTAATGGTTTCTCAACTGATCATATAAGTGCAAAATCTTATCACAAAAAAAAAAAATAGAAATTTTATCATTTCAGTACCTACCTATTACCTATATTTCAGAAACCTTCAAAGGTGATTTTACAGGAATTTTTATGATTTTTTCAGGTATCAATGAGTGTTGTTCATATTAACTTCTAACTTTAGTTAATGAATTTCATAATATATTAAGACAGAGAGTTGGGTTAAAGAAGACGATACTCAAATTATTCCAAATGTTTTCTCTATAGATAAGCTTAATCGCTGTAAACTTTTAATATACTTTGCCTCAAAGCCTCTATCCTAGATCACAGATTTTCTCAATAATTAAGACATAATAGAAGCAAAGTGTACAATGAAATTGAAAACTAAAAACCACTATAATTGTACAATTTTCACTACTAATAAAGTTACAATATTATTATGAAAACATTCAAATAATTAGTAATTCAATTGATATTAAAGACATAATTCCATTAATGTAAAATTCAATTATGCTACTGTTTGCACAAATTACCAACCCCAATAACATGGGTAACATTCCTCAAGCTTGCAATACAACTACAATTCAAACTAAGAACGTTTTCCAGTTTGATTGTTTGTACAATCCTGGCAACCTCTATCGGTACACATTGTAGCCTGTGGTTGGCTGTAAGATCCAGATAACGCATATATTTCACAGTTTTCAACAACTTCTTAGGGATTTCGGTCAAGTTATTCCTGGCCAAGCTCAACGTATGAATGTGTTCGATTTTATCGAAAACTTTATCATCCAATTGGGTTAATTTGTTCCTATCCAAATACAATTGGCTTATTCGTTTGATTCCACTAAAGGCACTTGGATGAATTTCAACAATATTATTTTTACTTAAAAATAATTTCAAATCTTCATTGTTTAAGTTTTTGAAAGCCCCATCAGGAATTTCTTTTATCGAGTTTCGACGTATCGAAACAACATTAAGAGCGGGAGTTCGTTTGAACCATTTACAATCCCACGTAGATATTTGATTGAAATTCAATTTGATTTTGGTTAATTTGGGCATGTCGTCAAACGCCCCACCGTCTATGAAACTAATTTCGTTTTTGTTCAAAAACAGCATCGTCAAATTTAATCCGTTGAAAACTCCGTATCTGATTTGCTGGATTCCGTTTTCTTTGAGGTTGACTTTTGATAGTTTAGGCACGTTTTCGAAAACTCCCGCTTCGATGTTGATAATTCCTGATGACGATATTATGAGGTCTTGTAGGTTGATTAAGTCGTGGATTGATGATTTGGGTAATATTGATATCACACTGCTGATTTTCAAATAGGAGGCTTTGTAGTCAAACGAATTGGGTCCAATGCTTGTTACGTTGTGCACTAGGGTTTTGTCGCTTTTCTTTTTTGTCTTATACCAACCGGAATTGAATAAAATTGTTGAATTTTCACTGTGAGAAATGGTGTTTATTAAAATCACTATAAACGCGATTATTGTGTTGTAGGAAAACATTTTGGCGTGTTTACTCTCGAAAACTATTAAACTAAAAGATGTTTGTTTATGAGGTCAAGAAAAAAATATTGCGGCAGGGTTATCATGGCGAGATTAATTCAGAAACGTGATTATTGTTTTGGATATTATGGGAGAAAGAGAAATCCTTGAAAACTTAACACAGTGTTTTTAAAGGTAAAACTACAGAAATTACATTTTTTTTTTGCATAAGTATCAAGATTCATGATTCTAAGTGCTATGTATATGATGAGGAAGTACAGGTTGTTTTTTTATGTATTGACACCCCACCTAAAGTGCGACAAGTGAGTGAACCTTGATAACGTATGAAGTAGCAGAGGGGAAGACGAAAACCTATACTATACGACGCGAAGGGTCCTCGACGTGGTGCATTGCCAAAATTGCGGTTACCCTGACGCGACGATCCGCGTATATGTATATTTAATCTCGGGCCAATCAGGAGGGTTCTGCCCGCATTCCTTCCACACAGGTTCACTCACTTGTCGCACTTTACAGCCTTCACCTTTACAAGTAAATGAAAGGTATAAATACAAAAGTTGTGCAGTATTGACTAAATTTTTAGAATTCATGATCAGAAACAAAAATTGAATGTCAGAAATTTGAAATGTTGTATGCTTTCAGCTTTTTTCAAATGGGATGTCCTATATTTGGTTCTATGTTTTTGAACAACACAATTTCCCGATTCAAAAACTATATAGTTTGTCTATATTTGGTTGAGCCGTCTCCAACATATTTAGTTCTAAAAATTTTAAAAATACTATCAGAGAAACCAAGTACCTTAAATTTTACCTGCAGCTTTCACCTGTACCGGTAGAATGGTTCACAAAATCAGTAGTAGGATAGTATTTTTACAATTTTTGGAGCCAAATATCAGAGAGATTGCTCAATCAAATATATATTGGGGCATTGTGCTCTTCAAGAATATAGAATGAAATATAGAGCATCCCATTTAAAAAAAGCTGGAAGCATGCAAAATTTCACATTTCTGACATGTTTCTGACCATGGTTTCTTAAAATTCAGCCAAAACTGTACAACTTTTGTGTTTACACCTTTCTTCTACTTGTAAAGGTAAAAGCTGTAGGTGGGGTGTCAATATACAAAAAAACACCCTGTACAAAAAAAAAAGGATTATTGTGGAACTTACGGGTGGACCTCTACGGGACGAGCGCAGCGAGTTCCGTAGCCATCTACTCACCAATATACTGTTAAACTATTCAAATAAGACATTCACCTGAAACGTGTAATTTTTAAAATGAGAATAACTCACATTTGAGTGAGTCAAGTTGGTATCGTAATTAATCAACATATTGATGAAAAGATGGCTGCGGAACTTGCTGCGCTCGTTCCGCAGAAGTCCACCCATGAGTTCCGCAACAATTCACTCATTTGTACTTGAATAATTTGTCACATTATGTTACTAATTTGGTAAAGTAACATTACTAATTCCTATTGAAAGGCAAATTGACAAAATGTGAATAATCATAATCTTACAAATTTTGACTTTATACAGGGTGATTGATGGTCGATGGTAGGTTAGACGTTTATGGAAAACGGAAAGTTGGATATTTTTGAAAATCTGCACGGAAATTTAATGTCAACTTCCAACTTTTTATGTATCAAGAAAAAACTCTAATTAGCAAATCCTGAAAGTTTCATGTTGCTGTGATAACTCGAAGTATTTTTCAGGAACCTTCAAAAGTGTTTTTACAGGAATTTTAGGATTTTTTCTGGAATCAATGAGTAAAAAAATCTGAAGTTATGGATTTTTTGTGAGTTTTTAATCAACTTCCAACTTGTTTCGTACCATGTAAAAGCTCTAAATAATAAATCCTGAAAGTTTCAAGTTGCTGCGATGGCTCAAAGTATTTTACAGGAACCATCAAAGTTGATATTAAGTACAAGAATTTTATAATTTTCTCAGGTCTTAATAAATAAAAATAGTATATTATTCAACAAGAGGGTAATGATGGCTATTACTCACGAAGGATGAAGTTTTGCACTACGAGCCGCAGGCGAGTAGTGTAATCATTCGAGTGAGTGTGGGATGCAAGCTTCGCACTTTCACTGATTTGTAACATATATTAATATGAATACATTTTATACTGGAAATACCCAGAAGGTAGAGCTTTCAAATGAGGTACGAAACCTGCATTTAACTTATAAGGTACTTGTCCCAAATAAGGCCATGTTAAGAAGTTTTATTTTTTCCTAACATTATCCACCAAACCCAACAAAAATCACGACCTTATATGTGAAGTGTTCCGGTTCTATAACTTGAATATTAACTCCAATTTAATTATTTTTTTATATTGTTACGGGATGATTTTTCCCGCACTAAAATAAAAGGAAATAAACTTATTCACCTCTCTGAATAGCATACCTTCCTCAAGCCACTGTTTTCTATCCAATAGTTGTAGCCAAACTTTCCATCGAACTTTTCATTCTTCCCAAAATTATTGAGTTGGAGGTTTATTAATGGAATTGATTTCCTGTTAGTAGGGTTAAAATAAATAGTCAACTAATTTATTAACAAACAAAATTACAATATTTACACTAGAACAGCTGATGTCTGATCGGAGTAGATTGTCTAGATTGACAGCGCTCCAAATAGGGTCCATGACCGGTACTAACTTAATTTGAATAAGTACCATGTCCCAACTACCATCAAAATCCCCAGTACCTTCCACCTTGGAGTTTTGACAGACACTTTTTAAAGGACATTGCAGGGACATTCAGAGGTCATTCAGGTCGAGGACTTTTCACGATTAAGTGTTCGGGAAAATTCCTCAGGCACATTTTGCCGATTTTCTGAGTTGTCTAGTTTTCGCTCATAGATCTATGGTGGCTAATCGTTATTTTAGCACCCAATCGCCTTGTGCGGATTTTATTTGTGAGTCGAGAAAAAGCAACGTGACCAATTGTTTGTTCCTAAAGGTCAAAGTATTTTGGTGAGTCGTTTTTCTTATTAGTCTTCTCTGTGTTTCTCTATTGCCTGTGTAAAAGCATAATTTTCTGTTAATAATATGGTTGAATTCCGAATATTGGACATACCTACCTATTGCTCTACTACCCTGTCTCATAACGTCCATTTGTTTCAGGCTTTTATTCGTCACCTTTAATCTTCAGTCTTAGACGTTACGTTTAATCGTCACCTTTTATTCGTTATTCTTAGTCCTTAACTTGAGTAAAGAGTTAAACGTTGAGCGTACTGTGTGTTTCAAGTAGTACATCCAGTCTTCAGCCTCCTCTGGACCATTGGAAGCTTTAGTGACCCCTAGTGCCCAGGGTCAGTTGCTTCTTGTCGCGATCCTGATCCAGTTCCAGGCCATCGGAAACACTGGCATATATTAATCCCATCCGTAAAGGTTCCCCCAAGAATTCAGGGACTACTCAGGTTTGATAAGTGTGTTGTGTTGTCGTAATAACAAACCTTACCAACCCCTTGTTGGAGTAAAACACTACAACAACGCAGATTTACTACCTTAAAAATTATCCTTCAGATTATGTGTTGCTATTTCAATTTTTAATTAATTATATCACCTTTTTTTTTATGAAACTTGCCATCCAGGTTATGTATGGTTAGGTACTTCAATTTTATTAGGTATCTAGGTATCTATACTACCTATATTGTTACATAATATTAAAGCCCTTCAGGTTACGTATTGTTACTTCCACTTTGATTAATGCTGCACTGAATACCGGTAAATACTTGTACACTGGGGTTAAATGGCCATTTACAAAGGTACTGCATTTAGTGAGCTTGTATATTGATCATTTATATTTCAGGTATTATTGCTGTTGTACGGTACTCTTTACTTTAAGGAACTCGAGTTAATTTATTGTATTTACTATTTTTAGAGTATAAAGGTTAGGTACTTCTAGTTTTTAGGCGATTTCTTTTCTTCTCTGAACCTGCTCTGGAGTCAAACCCATTCTGTTCGAGTTTTAATTAAAGACCCGTACCTGATTGTAGCAAAGCGTTTCACTTTTTTTTCCTTCTTCTTGTTTATATTTCAGGTTGTGCTGCTATAGTTCCGTAGAAATTTCCTGCTTTCGTTATATCGGTTGATTTCGTGTACTGCAGGGAAAAAGTAGGTGGCGCTCTATATTTAGTTAATTAATTAACCCACACCACTCTCCGTATTGGAAGCTAGTCGGCAACCCTATACACGAAATCACGTTTCTAGATTTCAGCCACCAACCAACCCTTTCTTTCTATTCTTTCTGTTATAGTTACCCATTCTCTGTCCCACTTCCTTCAAGTTTCATTAGTTACTTCTCCCTCCCGTTTTATGCCACGTAACAAATTGGCACCTAACAATATAAGTGGTGGTTTTTGCGTAAAATAAAGATGCATACCATTGGCCTTATTTGGATCACTATGCACCTAATAAGGTCACCATTAAAAAATGTTTAAAATAAATACAATTATTTATAAAAATGTTTTTTTTTCTTAAGATAGCGGGTAAAGCAGCCAAACAAGTTCATTTTTCTAAAATAATTCTTTATTACTAACCAAGCTTTCGATACTTTTTTGTATCTTCTTCAGGGCTAAAATTATACAGGGTGATTGATGGTCGATGGTAGGTTGGACGTTTATGGAAAACGGAAAGTTGGATATTTTTGAAAATCTGCATGCCCAAGTAATTGCTCCTGATCGATCTTTCTAAAATAATTTCAACGATGCGACGTTGCCGCTTATACCAAAAAGTAATATGAACTTTGAAATTTTAAATGAGACACCCTGTATATTATTGCATTTTTCGCTCCGCTATTACTTTCTGATCATTTTTGTATAATACTGTCCTATACCTATCTCTAGTGACTTTCGACTTATTAATTAATTTCTTTATTTTTTCTTCATAACATTGCTCTAGGTAAATTTGTATTACTACGTCCCTGAGATTCGTAGAAAGTTTAAATTTTGGAGAAAACTTGGGGAGGTCCTGCATATTACTTTTGAGCTAGAAAATTTGTTCTTCATTATACAGGGTGGGTCAAAATTAGTAATTGTGGTGCCA